AAAGGGGCCCCCCCCCCCCCCCCCCCCCCCCCCCCCCGCCGCACGTCGCCCCCGAAACGGCTCTCACCCCGCTATTTTGTTTTGGAAGACCGTGCCGGACTGGAAAGACCGCATGTTCGAGGCGGCGGGATCGTACTCGAAAGGCCTTGGGAAGAGGACTAAGGAGTTCACCAACGATGTCAAGGTAGGCTTTTTCGCCGGGGAGCGTTCCCCCCTCAGCGTATCGCGGCTGGTAGTGACGGCACCAAACACACACAATGAAAGGGCCAAAGAAGCGACACGGCGCTCCAGTGTTCAGGTCTTGGTTCTAAAAGCTCAATCGCGCCCCCACGGCGCTTCGCGCTTGGTGAATGCCAGAGCGTGGTTAGGTGAGAACACGGCGTGCTCCGTCCCGGCTTTGTGGGGATGCGAGGCCAATGGCCTTATGACTACACGGCATGCACGGCTATGAGTACCCCGCCCGGATTGACGTTGGCGTTTTTTTGGTTCTCCCGCCTCAGGAAAAACACAAGGACGCTTCACCGCTGATCGTGGAGGCGTCGGAGAAGGACGGTGGGCTGTACGAAGTGTATCGCTCTCTTGAAGTCATGCAGTCCTGGCGTAGACCAGACTCAGAAGAAGCGCATCATTAGTAGCTTGGCCCCCGCGTGAAGCAATCAACTATACAGCAGTAGACCATGCCTTGTGTGCCTTGTGTGTAGCGTGTTTGTTTGCCATTGATTCCGTCAGGGAGGGGCGGGGTTGGCGTCTGCTGGGCCTACCGAGCGGGGTTTTCCACTCGAACCGACGATTGTTGGGTGTGTTGGGAGGGCCTTGGGTCTTGATTGCGGAAAGTTTTCGGTGCAGATTCGGTGCAGATTGGCTCATTCATGTAGTGGGATGACATGCCGGGAGTTCGACCCCCGGCAGGTTGTTCTTTTTTCCCACCCCATGCACAGCGGAAGTAAGCACAATATGCCGAACACCCTTAGCAGGATGCCGCGCGCCCTTCATGCGACTCGCCGAATACCTCACGGTGCTTCGTGCTTGGTGATGTGAGAGCCTGGTCCGGTGAGAACCCGGCGTGCTCCGTCCCGGCTTTGTAGGGATGCGAGGTCAATGGTCCATCGACTACGGCATGCACGACCATAAGTACACCCAGGCACAGCGGGGGTTTCCCAAAGTCCGTGTTGGCTGTGGTTACACCCGGGGACAGAGGGCGTGGCGGTGGAGCGTTCAAGGGCAAACACGCGACGAGAAGAGGGGGGTAGACACCAAGCGTTCGTCTACCGCCGCGTTTTACGACCTGTGATGAGGATGTTGGTTGTGTTCTGCCTATCTTGGGACGAGGTTTGTGTTGTGTTGTGTTGGCGGCACAGTAGAGAGGCTTGGGACTAGCGGACAACACTCGCTTAAGTTTGGTTTTCTCGTAAATATGCGGACTTGAAACCGTGGCCGGTACTACTGTATTTCTGTGCTCCCTTGTCGGGGACGCGTCTTGTACAGCGCACTCCTGATGTGTTGGTTTTGGTCCTTGAGTCTGGGATGGCTGTAGCTGTTGCCTTAAACGTGCTGCACAGCTGTCCGTCGAATGTCCCGTATATATGTATGTATGGAGTCCACGATAGGCAGTTTGTTTCCTGACTGCGTGTGCATTATGCGTTGCGCAATCAGGCAGCTGCAGCTACGAAAGTTTCGGGTGTAGACAGCAGTTCCATCGGAGGTTGGCGTAGATGATAAGGTGTGCGTGTTTTGGTTCAGGTTGGGTGCATTTGCGAACAAGCTACATATGCATACGTACCTATTAGTAGATCTGCATATTCCAATGTAAGCGTATTTCCTGGGCTCATGAGGTGTGCTTTGCGTTGCACAGAGTGGTACGAGGTGTACAAGTTGCATGAGAGTACAATCGGTATTTCCCTACAATTGTTTTTTCGGGAGTGGGAAACGTAGCTCCTCGTTACAAGCAGTAGCAATCGGGTGGTGATCGAGTGTGTGTGTGTGTGTTTTTTTTTTTTGCATTTGTTGTGGGCCCCAGTTTACTCTTGTCTTCTCGCAAGAGTACACTTTTTCTGGACACAGGCCACCCCCCGGCGACGGCAAAGTTCTTTTTGGTTTAATATGAACTAGTATTTTATGTAGGAATTAGTATACGGGGGTTCGTTCACGAAAATAAGATCGTTACCACGGTGCCCCTATGAAAAGTATTTATCAAATAGACTGCCCGCACGGCCTCCGATTTCGATTAGTAGGCCCATGTGTGTGTGTGTGTTTTTTTTTTTCGCGTGTCCCTTATTCTTCTCGGTATATATTTGACGTACCAGCTGCGTGACATACTGGAGGCGACGGGAGGAACGTTGATGCACAAACGAGATGTTCAATGTTTTTCTGTTTATGCTTGCCCTGGGACAAGCTGCCTTCAATCTTCAACTTTGCATCACGAGAGGTCACAGCACAGCAGTGCTTCCTTCCTCTCTGTTGTACTCGCGGCTAAATAGCCGCTTTCCGTCACATGCACTTCTTTACGTGAAGCTTCCCTAGAGCAAACTCTATCCCCAAATACCGATGTCACCCATTTCTTCTCGTCTGCACGATGCAGCCCCCCGTAGCCTTCTTCCTGCTGGCCCCGGCTACAGAGGAGTTTGCTCCACCATACCGTAAGGTTGCGAGTCAGCGCACAGGGGTGCGATCGATTTTCAAAGCGCAATTTCTCCACAACCAGGAGGGTGCGAGCGCCAACTGCTACAATACTTCTCCGGAAAGCTCTCGATGAGATATTTCCCCACTTTTCGACAGTGGTAACCTCCTGGTTGTTGTGGAGAAATGACGCTTTGAAAATCGATCGCACCCCTGTGCGCTGACTCGCAACCTTACGGTACCCGGTTTAGCAGAGGAGTTTGTATCCAGCATAAGCGTGTAGCTTTCCTCTGGTAATTTTCCTGTAGGCCGGCCCTTCCGTCGAATGCAGAAATTTCTGAAACCACGCCGTAACCTTCTTTTTGGACAGGGCATTTCCCCGCACGAAAAAAACAAACAGTTGTCGACCACAACAACGCGCATCCGCCGCACACTTGTATCACTCTTCTCCCCTCCCCCACTCCACTCTTCAGGTCTCTACCCTTTACCTTCCTCCATCGCCACAAGCCAAGGCAACTGGATCCTCGTCCATCTCTCTCGAGTCCGACACCCAGCACTCGAAGCCATCTACTGCTCTACCCACTCCTTGGAAAGCATCTGCCCTTGCCAAGGTTTAGCCTAAGAAGACTACACGAAAGGATGAGCTGCAAATTTTTCGCTTCGGTCGGCCTGATGGCTCTGGTCGACACAGCGGCCGGCAACTACGTGGAGTACACGACCTATGAGAACGGCGGCTGCGTAACTGCTCTCTCCGTCAGCGTCTACACCGGAGTGCCAAGTGAGCCAACCGTAAAAATCTAGTCTAAAGTCTTCTTTGACAAACGCGCTGCTTTCGTGTGAGCAAACCGTAAAATCTCCAGTTCAAGTCAACGTACAGACAGCACCGAGGTTTGGTTTGGTACCTGGCGCGTTCACTCGGCATTATGGTTTGATTCACACCTCACATGCGCGTGCCTCATCCTGCCAGCCGAACTTGAGTACTCCCTATCACCGCTCGCCCAGGCAGCAGCAGCGACAGCCTTGCAGGATGTGGTGCAGCGTATCGACACATCCCGATGTTGAGCCTAGAGGATATGATGTCCCGTGGGATATCCGTATGATCATTTGTCATTTTTCATGACACATCCATCCATCACTGGTTTACACACCGATCACAACCAAGCTCTTTCCGAGTTTCGTAGGTCCCTCCCAAGCGAGACGCGCTTTGGGCTTAGCCTTGTTGTCTCCACGACGGTGGTTGGGTGGGACTTGTACCAGGTAGTTCCCAATTTGCTGCTGTGTTCGCGGAAAATAATATGAATTTTTTTAAAAAAGCATGGGGTTGAAAACATGCGTCGTTTGTACTTTCCGGGCTTCCGGACGGAAGCATAAATTTATCTGCTGCGGCGAACTCCGCGCATGCAATCGCTCCGAAAGAGTCTGTCGAGGCACAGCCACATGCTTGTAATGGCTCCAGAACAATGTCCATCACCAAGGTGTGCATGTATCTCGGCATCCGAACTCTTTCAGCGGGGCTGCACCAAAGCACATGTGTTGAACATCTTATACGTGTACTCTTTGTTCAACCATTTCTTGGTTCGCACGGAGAGAACCCGACAACAAACACCGATGGGGTGAAACCCCGACAGCGTGCGGTGCGGGGAAAATCACATACTGCTGTATGTAGGCTAGCAACGTCGATCGGGCGGGGGTAATAGGCCTCGGGTACGACTCGGAACCTTACAAGTAGTCTATCTGTAATGCTGTACTAGGTGCACCAGGCACCCAGGCGTGTCCCCGATGGGCTCGACGAGGATGCGACCGGTTTGTGTCCGTTGATGCCGGCACACACTCTTGCGAAAAGTAAGATCCAAAGTTTGAAGTATTTCCACGCCGTGGGAAAAAATAGAATATAAACGAATGATTCCGGGAAGAGGCATGGGATGCTGCATACCACACCGTCGCGAGCACCAGCAGCACCTTAGACATAGCATCTTGGCGGCTAGCATCTTGGCGGATAGATGCGGCAGGCTCACCACTTACCCGCCACACTTAATCGCTCCCAACCCTGCCTATTTCCCACGGCGTGATAGCAAGCAGTGGACATTACCCGCAACAGAGGAGCCGTTGACATCGATTCACACGATACAACCAGCAGCAACCATAGGAGCAGCCCGATGGGCTTGCCTCAAATCAGGTTTGTCTTCCAAGACAGCAGTGCGGCGGAAGCAACCCGTGATGAACCGATCCAGGGCAACCATCCTGAGAACGCACAGCAGTAGTAGACGACGCTCACGCCCTCGAAGGTTTCTCTCGATCCGTGTCCCGAGGGGCGTGGGCGATCGTCAGATCGTGTGTGCGTGGGAAGCTACATGTGCTTGTTGGAGCACCACCGAACCGGCGCGACTTTATGAAATAATATAAAACATGTACTCATTTTTGTGATGTTGAAGCTTTCCCGACACCCGTCCTTTTCAATAACGTCGCTCCTTCTCTTCGTACTCCTACCTGCCTGTCCTCTCTCCGCCAAACACAGCGGTCAACGGCGTGCAAACCGCAGACATGTGCCTCGAGTACGAGGGGACCGCAGAAAGCACCAGCGTGGCGTCCAGCCTGACGGACCAACAGGGTCTCCTCTCGCTCATGCACGTGTGCAACACGACCGACCCGGGACAGCTGACGAGCACCTGGTACTCCACGGACGACTGCGACGAGACGGCCGTGGCCTACGAGTTCAGAGAGGATGCGACCTGCGGCGTTTCCTGCACGGATGTTGGTGAGAGCTTCGTACGAGATATGTTTTTTCTGTTGCCGTGCGACAACGCTGTGGCGGAAAAGTAATGGCTGGCGAGCGCAACAGGTGTTTTTGTGCCATCGATACTTTGAAGGCTCGATCGCTCTACCCAAACAAGAGGCTGCCAACGCCGATCGACCATGTGCAAGGACAGCTCTCGATGAGATAGGTCATCTCGAAATCACCCTTTGTCGGTATTTGGCAGCGTCGGGCTGTGAAACAGTCGAGATTTGAAAAGCGATACACCTGCGTGGCGTCGCTTGCACTGAATGAACGGCATTCATTCTAGTCTAGTCCATGTCTTGTACAATACGCTTTGTTGGGACTACCGGTTCTCTTTGGGTAGCCCGTCCGAATCAATAGAAATAACCGACCAGAAAACCACCACCTCATCACCAAGTCCCGCCCCGCCGAACTCGACACCAGAGCCTGACTATGGGACGGACGACTTCGAGGAGGCCACGATAACTTTCTACGACACTTCCGACTGCAGCAATGCCACGGACACCGAGGTCTACGCCATGGCCGATCTGTACGAGCTCTATGAAGTGGCGGACGGGACGTCTTGCAGCGCGTCGGGGGACTTCGACCTATACACGGTCATCCAGTGCAGTGACGGCTCCCCTGCCGCGGTGTACTACGAGGTACGCATACCCAGCCGTAGGTTCCCCGTTTTTCTCTGAAAGATCAGAGTTCTTGCATGTGGGTGCGTATTTCTAGCCGTAAATTGTATGCGAATGAATGGATGAGACAGACGTCCATACTCCAAACAGGGGACGAATAAGTGTAAAGTTGGATGGCGCTTTGATATTCCTGTATGTGTCTTCTCCTGATTGGATACTCGCTCGCGCGCTTGCTTTTTCTGCATCGGCAGAAAGCAAGGCGGTTCACTCGTGTTACAGTGCGTAACATGCTTGGGTCACCGTGTTCGCTTCCTGTAGGAAAATGGGAAGACGACGTCTCACCTGGGCCCTTTTGGAGCAGTGGGTTGTGCGTACCAACCCCCGTAAATTACGTTCATGAGCCGTCCTGTGAAGCTGCCGTGACACGTTTCTGATATGTCAACCCCCCGGAACTCACGCACGGTAATGCCGTTCTTCTGTGAACCGCTTCAGGACGCCACCTGTGCCGGGGACGCCGTGGGCATGACCTACAACCCCGGGTGCGCTGCCGTCCCCAGCAACGGCACGTACCCGGGAGACTATTTCATGGCGGAGTGCACGGAGGAGACCGCCGCGGTTGAGGACGACGATACGGAGGTTGAAGAAGACGGGGCCACCAACTCCGCGTTTTCTCGCTTCGGACTCGGGTCCACGCCCGCATTCTTCGTGTCATGTGGCGTTGCGGCTGCCAGCGTTGCTATAACAACCAACGTCTTCTTTGCCCGTTTTTAATCGTGGTGTGACCCTGGGTCCGTGAGTAGGGCGAGCATGTTTTTTGCTTGCCGGTTGTTCAAGGCTATTTTATTCTGTTGTTTGTGGTGGTGCTGTGGTTGTTGTCGAGGTTTGATGCTTGGCCACGCGGGTGACAAGCAGGTTTAGTTGGTTCCGCAAACAAAGTTGCTGGCAGTTTTCGTGAAAACGAGGGGGTGTGAAGATTATTAGGGTGACCCTCGCGGTCCGGTGCTCGCGCAATGGCTGAGCCCCCGCGTGTAGAGTTTGTTGTGGGGTCAACATTGCTGCCGTGCACTCATTACATATCACAAGAAGGCTTGTTGGTGGCCAGGAGTGGCCTGACAACCCACCGTAATTTGGTTGCCTTATATAGAAATAGTATTTGTTTTGGTGATTGTGAGTATGTTCAGATCCCGCGTGCCTTGTGCCGGGCGGCTCCAGCGAGCTCTTGCGGTATGTAGGTAAAGTGGTCCGATTATATATGGCACGGCGTGGCCGCCACAATGTAGTGCTGCCGATCGCCCTCTTGTGCCTGAATCGGATGTGGCCTTTGTTTGATTCGAATGTTATTCGCGCGGAGATTTGTCGTGTTCCGCCCCATTGATGCTTGGCGGCTAGGCTACACCTTTCCAAGGTACAAAGACAAGTGTATTCTATTGTATTTGAAGCATTGATCGCAGTCACACAGGAAGAAGTCTCCACCGTTTGCTGTTGATGCTTGTCTTCTTGAATTGCTGCTACGTTCTGCGTCGTTTGACTGAAATATCGTCGGGGCAAAACAGACAGCTTGGTGCGACCCGGGCCTGAGTGACTCGCTGGTTGTCGTGCTCGTTGTCGAGGTGGTTGATGGAACTGACGATAGTCTTGTGAGTTCAAGCTGCTGTGGTGGAAAGCCGACATCAGCATCACTGTGTCGAGCTGATGATGCATCTACCCGTAGGCGGGAAAGGTGTGCCGGCTAGAGATTGATGTTGCGAGCACAGATGTGAGCTCGAAGTAGCAGCGGATGGTATGAGGTTCAAACAACTCCGCGAAGAAGAGAGGGCCTCCCGGGAAGACACTATACGGAGTGGGAGAAGCTAAAAGAACTGCGAATAAGTTCGATGGAATTACGTGGAGTACATTTTCTGGGAACATTGTGCGTGAGGCCGGCCATGAGCTGCTCAGACGAAAGCTCTTTCGAGAGCATGGGTTCAACAGTTGTGCTCTTGCTTGTCTATCTTCTATCTACCGTAGCACAACCAACGTGGGTGTACCTGAAAACTGTTTCTTTGCTGCATATATGACATCGAAATAGTTGTTTTCGAGCAGCAGCGTTTTCCTCAATTACACGTTGGGATGTCGACGCGGCTTAAAAGGAAGAGCAGTGAATTATAACAACGAATCGGACGGGATGTACACACGGCGCCGGCATCGGTCCAGGGGCAACCGGGGGAACTTGTGCTGATTTCATAGCACGACGAGCGATCGGCAATCGGTACATAAGATTGTTCTACTGCAGCAAAGAACAAAACATCGATGAGCACCTCGCAATACTTCACGCCAGCGCGGAAGTTGTACAGGAAACACGGAGGCAACCTACACGCCATGGCGCCATCACACCACCATATCACGACATAGGCAGGCCTCCAAACGCACTTGTTGTTGCCGGAGTCACGCTGATACGGAGTATTCCCGAAAAGAACACTTGCCCTCCATGCTCGACAGTAGTGGGATTCCTCTTGACCAACCCTCCACCGTTGTTAGAGCACGCACCAACAGGCTACGAAGCAATCATCAGCCCAACACACAACATGAATGAGCCCCACTTTATTTACCACCTCTCACATCCACGTTCAAAAGGCTTTTAGAATAGATATGATAGGTCCAACTTGCAACCAAGCACATTCGGAGCTTCCCGCAAAGCTCCTGGACAAACAACCATTGCTTTATGTCTCAGCATGGTAAACATTCACTCCCCTTACTTCCTCTTCCCTAGCTTTGAATCACACCACGGGTCCCTTCGCAAGGGGTCGAAGCAACGGGCACAATTCCTCAACGAAACGTCCAGGGTTGCCCGGGCGGCGTCTGTGGCCGTACCGGCGGATGTGGTCATGTCCGTGATCTCCGCTCTTGCAGCGTCAACGAGGGCCTCCGAAGAGGCCATGACCGCGAGCAAGGCGGCGGCGTCGGCGGCGGCGTCGGCGGCGGTTTCTTTCGTGAAGGTGACGGCCCGCGCCGTTTGCTCGGCGACGACCTTGCGCCGCGCGTTTGCCCCGGGAGACTGGTCACAGCTGGAGCAGACCCAGCTTCCCTCGGGGATGGCGTCGAGGTTTACACAGGCGGCATGGAACCCTGCCATCACAAGATTGTAACGGGGCGGAAGGAAAATATGACAAAATGCGTTGGCGACGCGGAGGTCAACGCCAAGTTTACCGCAAAATCCAATTTTACGGCAGGTGTTTTGATTGAAAGCATGATTGACAATCAATTTGTTCGTAAATCTGCAAGCGGCACGGTCGCCTACGGCAATGGGGGTACCAGTGACAAGTAAGAGCAGATCGTCTGAGACTGGACGGTTTAGAAACCCAACCCGCACCCTGGCACTAAGCCCAACTTGACCCACGGAGGAGGTGTACAGCCAAGCAACGGTTTTGGTAGTATCTTTATGTTGAGGTACTTGTTTGGTGCACCCAAAACACGACCCGAACAGGCACGTGAGTCTCGACAAGGAAGTGCTGATGATATGTCCACTCACCCTTGCTGCATGCGCCCTCGCAGTACACCAGCAGGCCCTTTCGGTGGCACCTGTGGCAACACTGACAAAGAGGAACACGCGCAACCAAGACATCAAAAGTGGTAGGAATTGAGCGCTACACATAGACCGTGTATGATGCTGTGGGTTTCTTGTGTCCAAAGATTTGCGCGTTGTTGCGTGGGTTGCATGTCAAACGCTGAACGTGTACAGGCCCAGAGCGCGGGACGCATATTCCGGCAAATTCATCTTGGAGCAAGCGAAGAGGACAACCTGTTGTCTCGAATGTGCTGCATGCATGCCGAAGACGCCACAGCTTCGTACTTACTTCGAGTTTGTCGTTCCTGTGTTGTGTCATGTTGTCCGGGCGGACGACGACCACAAAGGCGGCGCCATAGAGTCAACCGGCAGACCGGCAACACAGAGATAGGACGGCCACGGGAGGGGGGCGAACCACAAGGTTTAAAACACCGTGGTACGTGGCGGTGGATACCATTATTAGACTACAGCAACAAAATATCCGCCGGATGGCGGCCCGTTTGGTCTGGTGCGACGATCGATTCGGTCCCAAGTTGTGCAGGAAACAAAGATGCGATTTGATCATATGCTAAGGAGACGAGATTCGAGAAGCAGGAACAGAGCAACGAAGGCGACAGTGCCTCCTTCTTCTGTGGGACGACAGGGTTAAGAACGCCGGAAATGGACAAGAGGATCCGGGCGATTGTTGCGGGTGTTTTTTTGTACTCTCCACCTGAAAAGGCCGTGAGCGGCGGTCATCGAGCGCAGGAAGGCACAGGTCAAATCTTCCCAGTCACTTCACCCCCGCCATCGAGCGTTATTCTTGCAACGGTCCCTCAGCAGTTGACTCACCTCGCAATTTTGACCACTTCGTCGTACTTCTTCGATGTCTTAAGGGCGAGATAGGCGGGACCTGTCTTCCACCCGCTGTTGTAGCGCGTGCTGCACTCGCCCGCGGTGCGCATGATAGACTGAGAGTCGAAGTGGCATTGGCGTACGGGTGGAAAACGGGGAGGCTTAGCCTGCGGTGGGTTTGGTGAACACTAGCAGAAACAAAAAGCACAGTTGGCGTCTTCACGCGTATGTTATAGGATTCAGATGTGTAGACGAAACCAGACTTCATCACGCGTGCATACCACTACACTTGGCGTTGTCGGCTTATTCGTACGGTGTTGTCTGGCTTGGTTGTGTCTTGGCGCGGTTTGGTGCTTTAGACTGCTGCTGCAGTTTTTTGCGCTTTCGCCCCAACCACAGCTTAGCTTTGCCTCGCTTATCGGTATGTCTCAATCTAGCGTCGGCTCATCGGACTCCGCTTCGGCGAGCCCTGAGCATTCTGAACGTTCGCGTTCGCCGGTGTCACCGCCTCGCGTAGCGACCTTCGGGTCCCCGGCAGCTGGCCGTCAGGCCACACAGCTGCTGCTGTCTTCGGACGGTGCTCGTGCCGCTGACCCTGTTGCCGATGCCGCTCGTTTGTCAGAGCTTCGCGCTCAACGCATTCGGGAGAGGTTCGCCTCGCCGGCTTCGGTCGACGCTAACCCCGTGGGTGCTGTCCTCAAACCGCCAGCACCCACACCTGGAACTTCGGTTTCTGCCTCTGTGTCTTTGGGTGTACAACAGCAGTCCGTCTCGACGGCTGCTGGTGATGAGCTTTCTGAATTCCCGCGTGAACCACGTGTCGACTCGAATTTTCCTCTCGCCCCATCCACCGTTGAGCACCCTCCTCTTGGGACCGACATCGGTTTCGACCATGTTGCTGGCCCTGTAGTACAACGCTTGTCCAGTCGCTCGGCTTCTCGCAGCACGTTGCAGTTCGACTATACAGTGCCGGCGATTCCCCCTTTTTCTTCTCGTAGCGATCGTGTACAAGCAGCGGCTCGCGCTCAACGGCTTCGTGACCGTCGTGCATCTGCTCCAGTGACATCACCGCTTGCAGATTCCGCCGCATCACCACCCACTGTTCCAGTAGTTTCGACTACACGGGCGATTTCGATTGCCTCTGGTGCACTCCCCACAGTAGCTTCGTCTACCCCAGCTCTTTCGGTTGATTCTACTGCATTTGATCCCGTGGTTTCGCCCACACAGGCCATTTCGTTTGCCTCCGATGCTTTAGCTTCAGTAGTTTCGACTACAGGTGCAGTTTCGGCTGCTAACGTGCCTGTCCCTGCGGTCTCGACTGCTGTAGGTGTGTTTGCCTCCATCCCTTTAGCTCCGCCGCTACCAACAGTTTCGACTGTTCGCGGTGCTGCTGCCCCACCTTTGCGTACCGTTTCGACGCTGCGTACTGCTGTGACGTCTGCCCCCCCACATGCCTATCATGTTCCCACTACTAGTGCACCTGTCTCTGCGGTTTCGACTGCTGCACGTGTACTTTTGCCCATTCCATTAGCTCCGCCCCTGCCCACAGTTTCGACTGCTGGCGATGCTATTATTCCTGCAGCTCCGCCTCTTCGCACCGTTTCGACCCTGCGTACAGTGTCGTCTGCCCCTTTCCCCGCTCACACTACTTCCACACAGAACCCTGTGTCAGCGGCTTCGGCTGCTGTAAACACCGCTGTTTCTATGCCAGTAGATACGCCTCTGCTCGCATTTTCCACAGATTCACGTGTTCACACGGCGGGTTTCGATCCTACCGTTTCGACCGACTCTGCCATGCTAGCTCCTGCTTCGGCGCCCCTAGCTGCGACCTCGGTTGTTTCAGCAGTACCCTCTGCCCCTACCCCACCCCTTTACCCTTACGCCGTGCCCCCACCCCCCCCCATGCTTTCCTCTTCGCATGAACGTGCTGCTACGGCTGATGCTTTGCATCGTCTCGAAATCGCAAAGCGCTATAATCGCCATCTCCACGGCCTTCTTAGCACCATGGTGACCACGACTCCGGGCCCCAAGCACGAGCCGACATCTTCAGCTCGGCTTTCGACTCCCGAGCTTCGGGATTCCACCACCGGTGGCGGAACAAGGTCTGCAGTCACCGGCCGGCCGGCCGAGCCTGTCTAGATGGTCCTACCCCCCTCGGCTTCGGCCACCACCGCTGCTTCGGCGGCACCCTCGGCTTCGGCCACCACCGCTGCTTCGGCGGCGCCCTCGGCTTCGGCCGCCACCACCTGCTTCGGCAGTACCCCCGGCTTCGGCCACGGCTTCGGCCGCGGCTGCAACTTCCGGGCTTGGCCACGGAAGTGGCCATCGCGTTGCCGGCGGTCGCCACCATACAGGAGGCGGTGGATGTGGCTAACGCCTCCCGTCCGGATCTTCGGTATCTGGCCGGCCGTTTCCTCGCTGGGATGCGGACGGCCAACGCCCGTGCCACTGCTCCGGTGGTGTACCCTGGCTGCAGCGGTCCGCCTTTAGAGGCTTCCTATGTATTCCAGCAGCCGGCGCCGGGTCGTGTCAAGCAGGTGCAACCGAGTCGGGAGAGTGGTCCTGGTAGCTCGGGCGAGGAGTCGGGCTGGAGTTCGGCCGGAGCATCGCGTCGACCCCCGGCGCCTTCGTCCTCTTCGGTGGGTGGTATCCGGGAGAGAAAGGTGGCCAAGCGTGGCGGGGATGGCGCTCGTGGCTCCAAGAACAAGAGCAAGACCGGTTCCGGCTCGGACACCAGCTTGCCCCGCAAGCCAGGTCGTCAAAGGCAAGTAGTTCCGTCCCTCATGGACGCGACTTCGGATGCTCGTTTCTTTTTGCGTGATGATTTTGACCTTCCGGCTTCGGCCCCCCCCGTTTCTTCGGAAACTCGTGTTGCGTTTTCGAACCTTCCGGCTCGGCCCCCCCCGTTTCTTCGGAAACTCGTGTTGCGTTTTCGAACATGCCACCGGCTTCGGCCCCCCTCGTTTCTTCGGAAACTCGTGTTGCGTTTTCGAACATGCCACAGGCTTTCGGCCCCCCCCGTTTCTTCGGGAACTCGTGTTGCGTTTTCGAACCTTCCGGCTTCGGCCCCCCCCGTTTCTTCGGAAACTCGTGCTGCGTTTTCGAACATGCCACAGGCTCCGGCCCCCCCCGTTTCTTCGGAAACTGTTGCACCTCCTGTTTTTTCTACCGCTGATTATGCTGTAGGCTCAGGAATCGCACACAACCCCGGGTTCTCAAACCCCACCCCCCCTTCGACTTTTGTGCCCGTACAAGATGTTCATCATGTTGTACCGTCTTGGGATCGTGTTCCGCCTGCTGCTCCTTCGGTTGCAGCTGCTGCACCCCCTGTCGTTTCGGATGACAGTGTCTTGCCACTTTCTTCCAACATTGCACATGCTCGTCAAGCCACAGTAGATGCGGCTGCTTCGGCAGTTCGCAAGGCTCACGTAGTTACTGTCCAACGGGCGTACATCACTCTGAACTTGAAAAAAGTTGGAAATGTCGCTACCATGCCCTTCCCTTCAACTTTGTTGCCTGGGGACGGCTACCAACAGCTCATCCGCACAACACGAACGGCCTTGTCCGACATATTGTTGCTGTGTGATGACCAAAGCGAAGGGTTGGACAGTACTGATTACGTGCCTGGATGGGAACGGCCTCTCGAAAAGAAACTTTCGGGTGCGATCACCCCTGACAAGCCCTCTACTGCCGATCTTGTCCTTTCCATCGCTGATTACTTTCAGCAGGTGAAGAGAAGCTTGGACGGCGGCGCCACCGGACCAGAAGCTTTTCAGTTGCTGTTGCGTCATCTTGCGGAGCAATTTGATGTCGGCGACCGTCAAGAGTCGTTTTTGAGGCTTCAACAATTTGGAGTAGCAGATGGTACTTCTTTCGCGGATTACCTTCGTGCTTTTCGTTTGTTGGTTTCGTCTGTGACAGGCTCTGAGCGTACTTTGGCCCCTAGCGTATCCATGGTTCTAGAAATAGTGCGGCATTCGGTCTGCAAGCAATTTCCGAGTTTGTCTCCGATTTTGTACCCGGGTGCTCTGGCCACGGCCGTCACTCCCTTTGCGTCGATTGCGGATATGTGGGAGGCGTTCGCGCCTCTAGCGACAAGTAAAACCCCGGCTATCGGCGGTTCATCTTATTTTTCGTTGTCTTCGGCGCGTGGTTCCTCGCAGCCTCGGCGGTCCCAACACCGCGCCCCCGCGCCTTCGGGCCAGTGGGCACCAGGTTCAGCTCAGAACCCTGTAGTTTTGCCGGTACAATCGCACGATGCTGACCCTTTCACACGCAACTATGATTCTTGGCCTGCTTCGCAAGCCGATTGGTCTGGTGTATACGCTCTCACTTCTAGCTTTCGCAACGCGGAGGATCCTTTTTTGTGGACTCCTTTGTTGACACAAGAGGCTCGTTCGCAAGCCTTCCGCGAAAACAGGAATCGCTGTCTGAACTGCTCGGGTGAAGACCATTCCATGAAGCAATGCGTTGCACTGTTCACGAATTCTAGTGGGTTGTTGAACCCCGAGTTGGGTCTCCTCAATGACGATTCTGCTGCTTTTAGACGTTGGCAAGGCCGTATGCGGTCTTTTCGACGAAAAAGTGCGGACAACCGCCAAAACAATCAGGGTAGACGCCACCAGCGCTCTTCCTCTTCGTCCTCTCAGCGTCGAAACCACGCTGGGAATCGCCGTTCCGACGGTGGTAGTTCCCCTCACACTCATCAGACACAATCGCACAACAGTGGGTATGCCCCAGGAAATTCTGCGGGTAACTCTCACCCTCAGCAACACCCTTCGATCAACACCAACCACACTGGTGCTCTGTCCCTCTATCAACCACAAACACATGCACACACCGGTCCTTCGTCTGGCATCATGGTTTCGACCAATCACAATGCCCGTCAACCTGGCAACTTTCAAAATGGTGGTCGTTCTCGCAGCGGATGACTCATCGGTGGCGGTTCGCTTACTTCCCCCGGACCGCCTTCAGCATCTTCGGGGACCTCGTCTCGTTCTTCACAAGACGCTCGTGTGTCACGCTCTGTTGCCCCTAATACTTCGGTTTTATGCAACAACGACAATACTTCGGTATCTGTCGCGCCGTCACACACTGTTGCCTCTAGCAC